TTGAGCAAAAATTCCTCTTGGGGATTGGAAGGGCCATGTGATCGGTGAGTGAGGGAGTTATGCATGTGCGCGTGTCACACCAATCACAGTGTGGGTTGTATCAAAGAACGAATCAAATTGCCTGTTAGAAAATAAGATGGTATCTACATTAATCTGGAGACTTGTCAGATAACTGTAGTTTGTTCAGTCAAACATTTTATGGCTGACTATTTAGTTATCTTACCACGACCGATCTAACATCGCATGTACATCATAAATTCCCAGTTTCTTCCTTGCTGTACATCGCAACCAAAAAAACTTGTTAAATTAACCAAATTGTTACTGCAAACAGCTCCATGAATGCTCCTATCTCCGACACTTCAAACAAAAAAATAACTCTTGCATGCCGTGCGTGCCTATGTTTTCATTTTGAGGACAGCTCAAGGTCTAGACAATATCATGCTATAGGTATTCCTGAACATACAATTACACATACTAGGACACTGTTCAAAGAGATTCTCAAGAATGTATCCAAACTTAGATTCGAGTATATGAAATCTTTGTCTGGTGAACAGGTGTCCTTAAGGGCCCATTAACTGATCTTTTCGAGCCGTTGCTAAGGAAGATTTATTCTCATAAAACCTCATCATTTATAGTTAGTTCAGTGTTACTTCATGTGTTTTAACTTTTCCTTGACCAGTAACGCCAGTGATGATGTCATCAGGCCACACCCTTGGTCATGTGACTAATACTGAAAAAATGCAAAGGCTCTCAGGCAAATTACTTTATCGGGATTTTTTTTCATTGATTTAATATTTTAATTTTTATCCTCATTATGCTATGCATAGATTTTGTCTTATTTCTTAAAGGTCAGATTTTGAGAGAATTTCAAGGTATTGAAAAATTCGTAATTTTCTGAAAAAAGCATGATTTTGAAAAAGGAATGCACAGCTATGTTTTCAACGTTAGCTTCAATCGAAACTCATCGAAAAAGGCTCGATTTAATGAAAAACCGCCTTTCCTTTAGGATTTAAAGAAACCAGAAGTGCACCCTTTATATATTTGAAGTAACCCTATCAGTGGGTGCGCAATTTACACTACCAGCACACTTCGGTAAGATCAGACAAAGCCATGCGGAGTTAATTTTTCTCTTTCTTTTGCTCTTGCTTTCTGTTTTTCTCTTATTTTGTCTTTGCTTGTTCTATTTATATTTTGCATCTTGTGAAACACAAAGAAGAAACGTCTAAAGTGTAAGCAAATTTCCAAGTTATTGAGTTGTTTTTATTTTCCGCGCGCAGGCTGACGTAAGTAACCGGAAGGGAAATTTCACCTCCTTGGCAACGTGCATGAATTGGTTAATGGGCCCTTAACAACGGTGTCTCAAAGTAGAGGTTGTGACCACACAATGACCGTACAACATTTACAATTATGTTATTTTAATGTAAAAGATAAAATTCTACGTACAGCTGTATATGTAAATATCTTATTTCTTTAGATACAAAATGTGTAAATATGTCCATTGCTTGTATATTATATCAATGGCTCAGTCAGTTCCAAGCCCGTTCATCCCTCCTGGGCATTTTTCAATTTTTTGACAAAATACTCCAAATGCCTCACAGTGGAGCCACCTTATTTGGTCAAATCTCTTTTGTAACTTGATGTTACATCATGGTAAAAAAAAACTACCCAGTCATTGGTAAACACCTCATAATATTTGTAACACAATATTGTTGCTATGGTACCTAATGTGTCACAAAAATGATAATAATGTATTCACCAATGATTCATTTATTTAAATTTATCTAAATATTGATATGCAATATTTATACAGGCAGGTCTGATTCAGATAGGGCCTGTTTAAATGGAGGCCTGTAAACTAAATACTTAACTTATAAATAGTTCATATACATAACTGAATAAATGGCTAATTAAGTACATATTAAAAACCTAATTGATAAAAATATTAATCAACTATAAAAGTTATCACATGATCGACCTGTGGTAATTGATAATTTGTTCCATGCTATAACCTCATAGCGAAAAGAACATTGGTATTTAGAGGTCTTTGCAAGAGACAGATGGAGAAGATCCTTGCTCAGTGTGTTGCAGGCATGAAAATCATTTGAGTAGTGAAAGTCATGCAGCAGGTAGGCAGGCACAAAGCCATTGAGACACTTGAATATCTGAAAGCAAATTTGATTCTTCCAGGGTGATTCTAATGATGGCCAACTAAGAGTGGCGATTCATTCCTTGCTGTTGTATTTTGTGACCCTCAATGACTCATTAGAATTTAAGTCTTGGAAAGTGCTGTAAACTGTTTTGAGCCATGGAACGGTGGTACACATCATGGTGTTTAGAAGCTATGCACTTCTGGAAAGTAACAACTTAACAAATAATGCAACTGGCAATTTCCATTTCATCAGGGACTTTATGTTCATATTTCCATGTTTGACTGCCAGTGAAAAGCTATAAGTCAAATTTGTGAACAGTAAGTGCCTTCCTACGGTCAGATGAAAATCTAAACACCCTAATTGAATAAAACTAGCAGCATAACACTTACAAACTGTACTTCTTGCCCTGCAAAGTTGTCAAGGCTTCTTTCTCCCACAATTTGTTTGCACTTTGAGAATGCCCCACCCAAAAGGGTGACTTGTTGTAACAAATGCCCTTCTCTGGAGCAGGAAAAGTTGTCAAATGCTGAACAGATGAAGGTGATTGTAATTGACAAAGCCATCTCCAATATAAAAAGGTCATAAATGCTAAGAACTGTACAAAAAAAAAGCCAATAACTTACCAAAAACGTTTCGGTCTTAGACCTTCTTCAGTTACATAATTATGCAAATAAAAATACATTGAGTGAAAGGTCCTAATTCTACCATGGTACACAAGATGTTAAGAAAAACTGTTAACAAATAAAGAATTCGAAATGAAACGAAATTCGGCTTAACTTGTTTTTCAAAATGTGGTTGTTATGGCAAAGTAAACTGATGTGGATGCATTGACATCATTTTATGCCTACCTCAGCCATTTTTGAACTGTGAACGGGGGTTTAAGGAGAAACATTATTTACAAACACTGCCATGTCCCATGCATACACATGCCCCAGGATAATGTAACTGAAGGGAATTCTCAATGCTGGTGGATAATGGTAGGAATAGGAAAGAGGTTACTGGGCATGTGATAAAGGGGAAATTGAAACTAGAACAAATTTAGGAAGTACAATGATGGAAAACAGAGGAAAATGGAATGAAAAATAAAAAGAAACAAATGGAGCAACAAAAAACATACACTGTAATAAAGTGACTGAGAAAGGAACGAATGAAAAGGTAAATACAAAAAAATTAAACACTCTACACATACATGTATATACACTGTAAGAAAGAAATTTCAGACGCAAACTATAAAACCATGTACAATTGAAAGGAATTTATGAATTGGAAACTAGGATGTAATAATGAAATGTAGATTAATGTTAGAAGCTGTATTAAATATTAATATGGACATTTGCAGCCTGTTATGAAAAGGAGTGTAAGGAAGGCAAAATATCAAAACCACCAACAAGTTGAAAATGGAACTCATATGCACAGTGTAATAATTTAACAAGAAGATTACAAAGCTTTTCAAACAGGTGGTTTTGCATTTGCAGTTAAAAAGCACTTGAAGTTGAAGTGTTGGAAAAGTCAGCACAAGCCACATAAATAGTGAAGTTTGTGTGCTCAATGGTTATTGGCTATTGTTAGCCTGCTAACTGGATAGCACCTGCCTTTTGAAAGTTTTCACTTAACACAGCTTGCTGGACATTTTGCAGCCTGGATTCCTGTTCCTGATGTTCGATATCTTCCTCATCTTCACCACTGCATGTTAGAATACACAATCTATATACAAGGAGGCTCAAAGCAATGGCGTTCTTACAGGTAAAGAAGATGTGCATCTCACTGTATACTTTGTAATTGATTATGAGAAGTAATCGGAGGATCAAAAATGGGCCATCCTGCATGAAGATACCAGTTAAAATGCCAAATATATCACCATGGAGCAACATTTCCCTTCGAGAGATCTCTTTCACTTCTCCTCGTGCAGTAGTAATTGGGTTGATTTTCTTCTCCTTTTTCTCACCCTTGTACCCTTTCCCACGAAGAACATTCATCTCTGTTTGCCGACGTTTCATCTGTAATCTCTGAATATATCTCTCTTTAAGATCTTCTTGCTTCCCGTACTTGTGGAGACTTATTTTGCGGTTGATCACGTCATCAGGACTTACCTAAAAGAAAGTATCCCTGGTATCACACTTAAGGTAATCTTTGGATAAAACATATATACTAAAAGAAAATTATTTTGCACTAGCAACTGGTATGCTATTCTAAACAAATGGAAACAACATTGATAAGAGAAGGGCCAGTTCACTAATCAGCTTTGATGTCATGACATTTGGCATGATTGTGAAAAATCCTCCTCAGTCAACAGTTTTGTTGGGAGTTTTTTAGGCAGTCAGTGCCATCTATCCTGTTGTTGTTAGAAACATGTCTTTTCTGTGAAAATGTGACTCCAAACTTTTGCCTTTTTCCACTTATTTTCTCTAGGGTGTAGAATACAACATAGTCAAAAGTACCTGAACTTCACCCACCTTGTTGTTTGTGATGCGAATCTGATTATTCTTTCCAGTTGTTGCTGTTGTGACAAGACAGAACTGTAGTAAGCTCCAGGTGTACACACCAAGAACAGCAAGTGTCACCTGTTCCTCTTGCTGCACAACTTCGTCTTGAAGAACTTCAAATAGTTCAAGGATATCTGCTGCAGTTCCCACATAACCCAGTAACAGGGCAGAGAGCTGGTCACGGGTGATCTCACCTCTTGGTAGAAGCCACCTTCCTATGATTATACCAATAATCAGACCCAATTCACATATCTGCCTGGCCAGTGTTAATGAATTCATGTCCCCAAAGCACTGCAAAATAAAATCTTTATGTCAAACTCTTTTATCTGATAGAACTTCCCGAGGCAAAGGAAAAAACTGCACCTTTAAATGTGATGGAACTGGAGAACAAACCTCTAATACTTTGTACATGAAAATGCATTTATTTATTTCCCTCAATTTAAAAAGGTTAATAATTCTGTTACTTCTAATCTGTGGATTCTTTGATCAGGATTTCCATTTCCACACATTGAAACAATGCTGTAGACAATTTTGGCAGATACAAGCCAACCTTTTTGTGACCCTTTCCTAGTCTCTTTAGCAGCATCTACAGTATGTCACCATTGCATGACGCATGGCCAAATGATTGAGATTAACACTTTTTTCCTCAAAAATGAACCAGGAATTTTCACACACAATTAGAACAAGCTGCCATTAACATTTTCCCTGATCAGCAAATTAACCAGAAATTTTAACAGTCACTTAATTGAGGTATTTTACACCATAGCAGGTCAGCAGTTAAACAACAAACCCTAAACCATCAAAAAAGTGCATTATGCAGTAAAAACAGTCACAGTTGTAACTTACCCCTGAATTACTTGGAATTGGTGTAACTGTAGTCTCATTTCCATTAGTAATACGTCCTTCTAGAAGGTCTAACTCCACAATCCATATGATTGGAATCATGGTAGACATGTAGAAAAAGCAACTTGGCCAAAAGCTAAAATAAAGAACAATTAATGATTTTCTGCAAGGCTCCAGCTAGAGAGACATGGGCACTTTATTTACATTACTACTTGTGTGCCATGAGATATCATTAGATGTTTTCATATCTAGGTTAAATGAAATCACTCTGACTTCCAGTTAGAGTAGAGGACACATATTTGTTGTGTGAGTTCATATACATACACATGTAATTTGAAATACTATGATTTCACAAGCACATGTAGGTTTTTCCTGATTGATTAAGTCATGTATTGCAATTCTTGTGTCTGGTGAATAGCACTCAGACACAGTGTGAGATAATTTGCTAAAAAAATGAATAAGTTGATATATGTACAGTGAACTCTCTATAAGCAGACTGTGCTCAGGGAGTGGCAGTAAACTTCAGTTTGCACGGCTTGTTTTTCTGTTCACATCTGTTCTCACACATCAAAATAAAGGAAAAGTGCTGATAAACACACTCACGTTATTATCTTAGCTCTTAGGAATTTTGAAAGCACATTTTAAGTGACTTCTTATCCTTCTCCCCTATCTCTTTTTTCCAAACATTTGAAAATAGGATTTCCAAAAACAAGTTATTTACTAGTCTAGGTCAGTCTATATACAGTGTAGCTAAAAACTGTGCTTGAGGTCTTCAGTATGGCCAGGAGCCAGAGGTTGATTGCTGTACTCAAGACCTTGGGAAGAGTTTTTACCTCAAATACTGACCTCCCATCTTGTAAATAAGCTTGACACAATTATATTCCTTTAACATTAAACTGAATCTCAGGTTAAAATAATTTCAGACTAACTTGACTTGAATTTTTCTACGTCTAAGGATAACCAAAAAAAAAAAGAAAAAACTGGAAGAAAGGACGACGGAAGTGAAATCAAACTAGTTAGACCCGAAATTTATATTAAACCAAACCTTGTTATAACGTACTGTAGGAAGGAACTTAGTTTCTTAACCCTTAACGTTACTAAACGATGTCGTGCAGAATAAAGTAAAGATTAAATAACGCGTGTTGCTATGCATTCTTACTATTTGTATTCTTGTCCTTTGCGAGCAAGCAAAGTGTACACCATCTCGAAGAACAACAACACGATACCAAGAATGGTTACCCAGTATATGGTGTTATCGAGGCAGTGTGCAAGGAGCCACACAGACATAAATCCGTGGATAAAGAACATAACCCGAGTTAACACTGCGTAGAAAATCGGTCGAAAATTCCATAACTTATGCCATATTCCATTCTCCATCTTGAAACTGCTTTCTTCTTCTAATTTGGTCTCCATCGGTCTCCATGCAACCACAGCTCACTGACGTCGATCCAGTGAAGCGTGACGGTTTGAGGGAACTTGTCCTTAGAGGCCGCGATTCTTTTGGTCTGCAGAAAGAAAATCGAGAACTCTACTGCATATATGATTATTGTTTTGTACTTTATGAAAATTGACCGTGTACTCTAAATTTAAAACTAGATCAAAAGTACAAGGGGCGTTAAAAAGCCGGCAGCAGTTAGACGCCGAGTCGCCTTCAGGCTAAACAAAAGGATCCTTTGGAACCGAGGAAGGCAAGTAGAGGACAACTTGGACGTCTTGGACTGCCTGTGCATGTTGTCGAGAGAGTGACAGCACCATGTGACAGTTACACCACATACCCACCACGATTCAAGCGTGGCGGGAGTTTTGTTTTGAGTACCTTTGAGCTTTGTACCACGACATTCCCGAATGCAATCAGCAAGGAAGGATTGGTTCCAAATTCATTACGTGGAGTTAACGTAACTTTACGTGGGAAATGCTACGAGCGCGGTGTAACATTTGCACGGAAGTTATCCGAGACGGCGCAGCATGCTGTCCCTGTAAGCTATACCTCAATTACATTCCTTTTTCATTCAATTGCATGCTACACGACATAAGCTTATAGCTTTTTATATAAGACCAGAAGCATATCACCTTGAATTCGAGGTGATATGTTTCTGATAAGACTTAATGCAAGGGCTGAATTTTTCAATACCCTGAATACGTTACTTTCTTCACAATCTAGAAGGGAATGGCATTGAAGCCCGGTAAAGTTCTGAAAACTTCAAAGGAACAAACAAACATGTGCATAGTCTTTTTACGCTCATACACTATGCTTGAATTACGAAACAAAAACGTTTCTATGACTATAGGTCATTTTTTCGCAAGGGAGTAAACACCTATGCTTATTGTGTATTGTAGAGGCCAAAAAAGAGAAGAAAAACATGAAAGGACTTTGTTGTATTTCACAACCATTTCTCATACACTTTCATGATGTTGCAGTCTGTGGTCCACAATGGATGTGAATTCATGTAAACAGTCAAGTGTTATATGGTGATGATGGGTGTTTTTGCGCCCCAGTTGTCATTGGTTAGCTCTCAAAAATGTTAACAGTAACACAATATATATAAATAAGCATGCATACGGTTACAATATGACTACATGTAAGCTTATTAGAGACTACTCCCAACATGGTCCATCGAACTCAATCAAACTCAATCGAACTCAATGCGTGGTTTGAATTAGTAATCAAACCACCTAAAAAACTGAAGTTTGTGTGAGTTTGATTTCCGAACCAATCAAACAAATCTAACCTTATCAAACTCAATCCATTAGATTGCGTTCAATTGAGTTCGGCAACTGAACACAATCTACTCAATCTTTTGGATAAAAAATTATGATTGTGTTTGATTGTGTTGAAGGTCGTGTTATGTGGTCTGACAGCCTGCTTGGTTACTGTGTGTAAGCTCTGGTAATCCTACATACAAAGCAAGCCCATTGTAAACAAGTTTTTCTTTTCCTTTTATTGTTGAATATTCGATAACGAATATAGACTGTTCATAGCAGTGAAAAGAACAAATGCGAACAAAGCAATCACCATCCCCGCATATTACTGTATCCACAAATATGGTACCATTGTCATGGTAAGTTAACTTGCAATTGAAAAATGACAATTGAAGTATCACTTTTATGAAATGTATAGACTTAATCGAATTTCTAACTGCAACACAGGTAATGGTAAAAATAATGCACTAGTGTTGCTTTCCCCTGTTTTCCTCATGGGTTGCACAATGATTTCTTGAGGCAAATTTATGTACTCCTGGTATATTCCGCTGGCATCTCTTCTTGAATTCCACTACAAGCGTCTTCACTTACCAAGTTATTGAAGCATTTACAGGCCACAGGGGCGTAACCAGTTTATGTTGAAGGTGACTCAGTTGTTCATGCTCACATACAACTGAAAATGCGCAGTCTTTCTTGCTTATTTTCTTTAAAGTTTTAAAATCTTCATCCTCCTTCATGTCAAAGCAGCAATCTTAGTAACCTTTAACTACGCATTTAAAGCTAACAACCCACAGTGCATCTGAAGCCATTTCTATAGGATGTCTGCAGTTATTTTTTAACACCTGGAATATCAGTTTTTATAAAACATGCAATTGAGTTCAATTGCCCACTTTTTTGTGTGTGAGTTTGATTTAGTTCAATTGCAAAACTCAAACTCAATCCATCGATTGAGTTCAATTGAAATTCAGTTTGATTGGGTTTGACTGACTGTGCTGGGACTACTGAAATGAAGATGTGACCATTGCAGTTGTAATCGCAATTTTAGTAGTGTTTTTGTGAATTATGCCTCAATAAAGATTGTAGGGCTTCAACAGGATTTCAGAGTTGCTACATGTAGGAATTGTAAAATTGCCCCTAATGAGATATTAATTTTCAACTTTGTGTTATGTACAGGTGGACATGTTTATCACTTGAAATGGTAAGCTGCTAAAGTTATTCCTTGTAAGATAATATTGCCATGTTGATGCTGTGTGACTAGGAACATATTACATTTGAACCTCTATTAAGTGGCCAACCTTTATTTGGTGGTCAGTGGCCAAAAACCTGGAACAATTGTCAGCTATACACTGTAATAAAAACCTCTATTCAACAGCCACTTCTATTAAGCGGCCGCAGCAAGCTTCTTGCCATCCCAAGGGTGATTTTGTTTTGTTTTATACCTCTATTAAATGGTCAGGAAGATTTGAATTTGGACATTTTTAGTCAGATGAACGTAAAATACAGTTGAACCCCTATTAAACGGCCACCCCTATTAGGCAGCCAGTAATCAAAGTCCCAATGAGGGCTTTTCTATTGTTTTTACCTCTATTAAATGGCCAACCCCTTTTTGGCGGCCACTATCTATTTCCCCAAGGGTGGCCGTTTAATAGGGGTTGAACTGTAATGACAACGTGGAAACCTAATTGTTTCTTTGGCTTTTGGTAACGTCATAGACCGTATTATAACCATCATTGTTCTACTTTTTCTCCATTTTTTTGTGCTTATATTTAATAAACTGAAAACTGGACCACACCCAACATTGTTTTCGGGTGAACCTCTATTAAATGGCCTCCTCTATTAAGGGGCTAGTTGTCTCTTCCCTGAGAGTGGCCACTTAACAGAGGTTTGACTGTATTAATAATAAGGGTTGTCATGAATTCCACCATCATGCGAAAATCATTTATAGGTCAGATAGAGTACTCACTTTACCTCAGTTTCACATGGTTTCCACTTTCAATGAGGGAGGCCAGTGTATAAGGTGACACAGTTTCTTTTAGAACAAGTATCAGCTAGTAGTGATGATCAGGACCAAAAGAGGCAGGAATGAATGGAGGGACCTCTGGTTGACTGTGGCTGGAAGTATTTGAAGATTCTTCAACAACTGACAAGTGTGGCAGGGGAAGTGTTTTGTTGACATTTACTAGAACAAAGATCATCTGCTGAAGAGACGCTTCGTTTCATACCTTGTGTTCAGGTACCCAGGAAGGATGTTGACCTGCTCAGGTTTACCAAATACACCAGCACCTTGTAGCTTCTCAAACTTGTTTTGTAAATCCTTAATGGTGTTCCTATTGCACTGGGGGAGCCTGCCATTACACTGAGGAGGAAGTGTGGGCAGATGTTGAATTTGAAGATTCAGTTTGGTCACTTGCACCCTTGCATCTGGATATGGGGGAGTTAAGACATTCATTAAATTCCAGGTTGCAGCTATGAATTTGTCACCAGTGTCCTCATCTAGGCACCCATCAGGATCAAGGAGTACTCTGGCTTGAAAAGGCTTGTGGTTGACTTGGGAAGAAGCAGTAGAAGCAGTGGTAGATGGTGGGTTGGGATCAGTGTGGTAAACAGGTGTCACCTGCTGAGCTTGGCACAACTGCTTCCTACTCTACAGCGGAATTGGGGAGTCAGTCATGATGCTGATGTGTACGGCATAATCCACAGAGAGGATTGGTTGAGGCTGAGTCAATGCAACTTCTTGTTAACCAAGGTGTTAGAGGCCTCAAGGGCCTGCAGTGTGTCAGGATCAGATTCACAGAGGGTATTAAACTGAACATAATTATTCTCCTGGTAGAATAATTGTGTGGTGTAGGTTGCAGAGCAGGAAAAACTGTGTTAGCTGTACTTAGCTGAAGGGTATGCTTCAATGGTGAAGTTGATGGTAGAACTCGGATGCACCATTCACTGCTAACATTTCACAGGATGGACGCCAATATGTGTACATGTAATTGCAGATCATACAAGGGTTACCAGCTGGTGCATAATGAGGGCATCTAGTTCACTGGTAAGGGAGCAATGGACTTTGCCAGTTACATCCCCTGACACTATCAGCCTGACAGGCCATTTGAGGGGCTGGAGTAACAGGGAGGCCATAGACATTGGCAGTTAACATATGCATCATGTTAGAAGTAGCTCTAGTGTCTAAGGTCGTCTACACAGTGTGTCTGTGATAGATGGTATTAAGGTCAACACACAGGTGGACAGATCTGCAGGTCTAGTCTTAGCAACTAGCCCCTTGAAGAGTTAACACAAGGGGACTGGATGCAGGGACTAGTCCCTCATAGTGTTTACACTATGGGGACTAATTTCACAGGAATGTAGCTTTAAAAACTAGGAGTATAAGGTATCATTCTCTTACTTTGTAGCTTGCCGAAAGTGAAACTGGAATTATAAAATTAACAACATACATATCATTGAAATATTTCAGTGCAGCAATAAAACTGCAGATTGTGCACTGACAGCTAAATTATTCAGTGCTTGTTTTTGCTGATTCCCACTTAAATAAGTCGTGTGTTGATTTATAATAAGTTTCCAGAGAACATGTCCTCTGATTGGCTGAAACAGCGTGCTTTATCATAGAACAGATGCACATGTTGATGACGGTAAGCTGGCTTTCAAATTTTTGCTTCTGATTTTGAAAAGTTTGACCCAAATTTGACCCAAATTTAACATGGCCTGTGACTGAGACAAATGCAATGAAAATGAGCTACTGTACATGTATTTTTCTGCAGTAAATATGGCTGCACAGACCACAACAGTACTACCTGTTGACTACCTGCACAACAGTACTGTTAAAACAAAATTTTTGCTTGATTTCAAGTTCCTTAATTTTCCAAATACTTTCCTCTTCTTAGTGTGAATTTACATTAATCATCTTTGGTCCCATTCAAGCATTTGGGTTTTCTTAGTAATTACATGTGTACATCAAAATGTGAATACTAGCAAGGGAATTGAAACAGAACTTGTCTTGGGATGCATAATACATTAATAAAGTGATGTCATTAGGTGAATTCTGGCAAACCACTGCCAGTGGACCAACTGGCTCAGACTTCTTAACCAGACTTTCTTAAAGACTACATTGTGCTGTGCCTTGCCTTTTGTGTGATTTTCCCTGTGATTTTATTGTGGTCAGGGAGTCGTATGGAAGTTGGATTAAGTACACTTGTATGGTCTGGTTTGCTTAACTTCCCTTCCTCTCTATTTATAACAAGTTTTCATAGAATAATGAATTGTTAATTATTGTTAGTAACATTCATATTTTGCCCTCTAGCAGTTCTGTTCCACATGTATTTCAAACTGATGGTGGATCTCAGTATTGTCTTGGTAAGGCATGGTCATGACTTAGGTATTTCACCCTGTTATTTATAGCTTGAATAAGTGGCTCAACCAAAGACATACTTGCCCAACATGCCGTGAAATCACCTCAAAAGCAGTTGTGCTATTCTTTGATGGAGCAGACCTGAACAGTACACAAACAGAGGATGATGTGGAAAGTCTCAAGGTAAAAAGGTTAAGCTTTCTTACTAGGCCTCCTTCAAAAATTTTGAGGCAAATTAAGAATAAAGAAGTCATTCTTTTTTCTCACACGTACCATTACATTTGATCCTAAAGGTTAAGAAGGCAGAAAAAAATCAGAGATGATTCTCACAAGCTGTTACTGCAAAAAAAAAAAAATAAAAAAATAAAAATAACACTGGGACACATTTTGAGTGTTAAACAGGAAATGCCTTTTGTTTACTTCAATGTCACAATTTTCAGTTACATTGCGAACTGCTTTTCGTACACTCACCAACTGCCACTATAAACCCATAGACATCAAACTTTTTTACATAACCTTCAAAATTAGCAATTATTTATTCAACGTGAACAATAGGACCGTTCTAAAAGTGAGCAATAGTCTTAGTCATTGATAGTGACAATATACCTAACATTAGGTTGTTCTTATTTCTTTTACAGAATAATATTGAAGATCTCAAAGCGTTATTGAATCAGAAAGGTGGGATTGATCTTTTTGATGTAGTTTATTAATTTGGCTATTTTACTTTTTGTCCAAAGCAAAAAATGCATGAAATGTACCATAATGATTGAGTACAAAATATCACATCCAGGTCCCATTATTCTAAGAACAGTTAACTATATTATTATTCCATGAGTTTACGTCAAATTTGAGATGGTAATTAGCCAACAAGGCCCCTAGAGCTGATCTGGTTGTAATGAATCTCATATCCAAGAATGAATGGAATAACTGTTTAATTAAATTCTATTATTAACTAAAATTCTGTACACTTGTATACTTCAAAATTATGTCAGCATAATTTTATTGGATTCTGTTTTAATTTTACAAAATGACTGAAGGTGATGTGATGAAAACAGCAAGTTGGAAATCACATGACATGCACATCATTTGTAGACTTAGTCGAATGAAAAATTTGAGAGCAAAGCAAGTGAGTCTGCTGAACAAAAATTACAATCAAGTAGAATTCAAGGAATGTCTATCAAATGAAGGAGATACAACCCTCGTCAAGTGTGAAAAGCGTTGAAGTTTGAGTCATCAAGAAGTGTAATAATTGTGCACTTGCACATTGTAGTTGTAAGAATATGCGGAAAACTTTGATTGCTTTGTGACACAGATGATGTGCTGAAATTATCCTCGACAAGAACTCTTCCAGCATTCCCTTGCTGCATCTGCCATGGCATTTCGAGCTGGATCTGTGTAGTTGATTACTATCCAGTTTCAAAGTCAGGGACAGAAACTATCTTAGCGTTGAATTCATCCTCAGAATCTCTGAGGCCACAGTGGTGGTTTTTCACAGCTGGTATAAAAGAACTGGGCTGACTTTGGTTCAGCTCAAGGACAGCATTGTTGCCATTAGCTGGCATTGATTCTCATTTCCTTGTCAGCCTAGAAAGACACTGAAACAAAACTTGGTCGTCCTCTTTACATGTAGCTGTGCAGGATCGCTGTCAAACTGTTTCTTCATCTGTTCATTGGAAATTGGTTTCTTATGGACTAAAGTGCAAATTTTGGCGGTCTTCTGGAGGTCTTTTACAAATGCTCTAATACTTTATTTGCTTCAGTAAAAGCAGGGTCAGAAGTAATGGGAAACGATTTGTTGTGCAGCGGCATACAAAGGAAATGATCAATGACAGCTCTGATGGATTTCATCATAGTTAATAGAGGGGAATGGTTATGAAACTTGTCAAAGCTCTTTGTTGTATGTTTTTGTTCTCTTTTTTGGCTTTGACCCTGCACAAAACACAATTATAGTTGTTTACTCCGTACTGAGGAACTAACCAATAGAAACGTGTTAATTACGTAACTCATGCATAGTGTATGAACAGAAAACAAAAGATTGTACATGGTTGTGGACCTTCCAGCATAAATCTTGGCATCTTTGTTTCCTCCTTTGATGTTTGCCGGGCTTCATACCAGTCCCCTCTATAAACTATGGATTTCATCGATGAACTTTTGTGGTACGTGCTATCTTTCTTCCTCGCAGATGTGTAAAGACGCATCAGGGAAACATTCAGTTCTTCTTTTTGGCATTCCTTCTATCGGTTTTGAAAATTTGGCGCCACCAAGATTGGCAAGCCATTCTGGTAAACATTGTTGTTATGTAATGTTCATGAATGTGTAAAACCTTGAGTGTCATATTTGAAATTTTGCATCTTTTAAGAGAAGGTCACTCCAAAAAACTTATTTTTTTTTTCAAGGCTAATAAAAATCTTGCTCTTTTTTTTATTTTTTTTAAAGTGCAGTTTTTTCTTATGAAATTCTATACCTGCCAACTTTTTCTGAGTTATAGGCATGAGATTTTTATCCTGGGAGTGCTAGGTTTTTCAAAGGCGACACGAATATATCCAAAGATTCCCGAAGACGTCCGAAGTCTTCTGACGACAAGGCTATCAAAAAAGTGCTTTAGCCACACGGACCAAAGATGTTAGTTAATCATTACATCAGCGCTATACCACTAAGATCGGAAAGTGTTTGGACCGACACAGCCAATTTCTTATAGGCAACTGTGATGTTGATGTGTATTGCTAAATGTGACCACGCTCCCAGTGCTTTCTATTTGGAGAAGGTGGTATCGTCATTTACCTATAGTTTTTATTTCTTACATCGGTTTGAGTTTATATATTTTTGGAAATTGTGTCAAGCAAAGCTACAACCACTCACATTTTTCAATCAGGCATGAGAATTTGGCCTGTAAACATGAGCCAGCATGAGATCGAAGTTTTCAGTCCACAGGCTTCAGACTCACACCTGAGGTGTGAGAGTTAGCAGGTATAAAATTCGTCTCCAAAGAAGCCCAAAATTTGACATTGTTGCCACCATTTTGAACAGTATTAAGCAGCCAGGCCGTTTTTTTTGTGACGTCATTCCATCCAAGAGATTTTGTCCATGGCTTGCGACTTTACAAATTGATGTCAGGTTTTCATGCGTCTGTTTTTTCCTGAAAGTTGAGCCCTGTAACTCCTACCTCAGAGAAATTTGAAATAATTTCTGTGAGAAAAAAATTTTGGTGAGCCCATAACATATACACAACTGAAGTCAGTGACTCTGTGTACTGCTGGCTAAGCCTTGATTGATCATAATTATTGTGCTGTACCTGTGTGCAACCTTCATTAAGTCACACCCTCTTTTCAGCAGTTGAGTCCAAAGTCCAAAAGAGGTTAAGGGTTGTTTTAATTAAAAGAGAGAAGAACCTCGACAAATTTAAAATGGAAGCCTCATCATGTCAATACTGTATACCATGTTGGTTGCCGGGTCATTTAATGCATAAATACAGACATAAATGATAAATTAATAGTGATGTTATCAACTGTCCAAGTGCTGGTTGCTCCAGTCCACCTTAATGTGTGTTCATTGTTATTCATGTCCAGGAAGGATGTATTTCAATGGAAATGTTCCTAACTTTTCATTAGATATACTGCCTTCCAGTAGGCAGCTGTTCATGATTTGAAGCACTGTCTAAATCTTGGACTTATTTTCATCCCATTGGAGGTTCAAGAAACTGGGATTCTTCTAACTACATCATCATGTTTTTCTATGTTTTGCACATAGTATTTTAATATGTTAAACAGGCACCAAAATAACACTCACCTGTTATTCCTTTTAGATGTGGAAATCAACTGCTCAAAACTGGAACACAAGGTGGGACTTCTTAACAGCAATTGACATGATAATGTTTTTTCTAGCTGCAGTAAATACATTATTATAATTATGGCATTGTAGTCTTGAGGTTTACAAAGCCAAGTGTTTTGATTGCTTCTTTCCAAGTTGGGATTTTGCCATAATTGTGATTTTTGTTTGTTTGTTTTTTTTTTGCTGCACTTGGACTGCAAATCAGACTCACATGGTGCACTTAAATGTATTGAGGATGACCAAGTTTACACTTGGTTGATATGTACTTGACTCAAATAATAAATGTTGGAATGGCTGCTCTAGAAACTAACATCTTTCCACTGCAGTTGGTTTAAATATAATATTTTATTATGTTGTGTGAGTGTGCCCAGTTGTATTGTAACAGGATAATGAAGAATACCCTTGTTCTCTCTCCTCTACATCAATAACTGGCTATTTTGCAGAAGGAGCTTGCTAAGGAAATTGCAGCATTACAAAAGCAAAAAGGTGTGTTTTCCATACAATATGAAAATGTGTTTCACTGAATAATCGTTTTAATGGACTTGGCAGATGGCTTTCATATGACTTTAACAAATCTGTGTGAGTAATTCATATCTTATGACCAGTGACATGGAACATGGAACTATTATGATTTCTATACTTTGTTTTCCTGACAGAGGTTTTTCAGCTTAAATTTAGTCTGTTCATGGAATAACACTTATGAAAATATTTAAAGCATTAGCTTTAAAGAGTACCATTTTGAATTATAGACAAAATTAATATTAACTCTGTGACTATTGTCTGAGAAAATGCAGTGCTGTGTATTGTTGTCGTACAATTGTATTGACATAGCTGCACTTATGAATTACCTAACACAGTTATGAACATGTTTTGTTTTCCAACTTGCATTTACTCACTTTCTACAATATACCTCACAAACCACATGCAAATGAGTATAGAGTGAATAAAGTTTTAAATAGGTGGTATTTGTTTTGGTTGTTTAAGAATGTGCTGTGGAGGAGGTAAGAAAACAGCTTGAGAAGAAACTTCAAATGGAAAGGTCAACTACTGCTGGACTAAAGGTATGGGTATTACTAAAATAATACACAATAATTATTTTACTTGGGCTGACTTTTAAAATAGTCATAGCACTGGATAACTACTGTGAACAATTACATTTTTTCTGTGAATGATCTAGTTCTTTTGTCACCTCCCTGTGCAAGGCACAATACAACAACAACAGCATGTGAGCCAGGCTGTGCTGTTGTGCCATTGCAGAAGAACAATCATGTCCCCACCAAAAATGGTGGAGGGTCAAAAGATCACCTTGGACATCTGGAATGTTGCATATAACAAGCACACCAGACAAATTACATTGTTTTAATGCTTTAGTTGACCAGGGGGCCATTTCTCAAAAGTCCTGGAAACTCTTTGGGCCCACACAGTCATTTTTAGCTCATCTGTATCTAGAAGTGTGTACACCTAAAACTGCTTTTATGAAGGGAACCTCTGTTCATATTAAGCATATATGAATAAAACTGCTCTGTGATAATAAGGTTTGAGATTTTGCTGTGGCTTTTCGGGTGCTTCAGGACCTTCGATAAACAGGCCCCAGGGCATAAAACTGTCCACAGTTCAATGTGTTTTCTTCAAAACTCTCTTCATAATAGTAATGATGATAATAAGGGTATGCTTTAAAAGCTGTAATTTGTAGTTAAAACTCCAACATGTGTCTTTACATTTATCTATAGCACTCAGCAGATTTTGGTGCTTTATTTTGTGAATTTGTTGTTTCTTTCAGTTTGGCCACACAGAATGGTTTACACAAAATATTTTATTTTTAGTTTTTCATAGTAAAAATACATGTGTTTCCAAACCAAACTTTGAATTCAAAACCAATGGGAAATAATTTCGAGCCAAAAAAGCTAACTGGACAGCACAATAAACAGGCCATGGGAAGGCAATTTTGAGTCAATCCCTGTTTGTCAAGCGGTGACTCAAAAAGTTAGGGAAAGAAACATTGAAAAGTTGTTTAATTTGCAAATCGGATAATATGACTGGAGCTTAACCCATTCATTACATTCAAGCAAAGTAGAGGCTGGGTTTTCTTAGTGCACAAACCTAAGCTAAAGTATATTAAGCAGCTGATGCAGATACAGTAACATGTTGATACTCGGCATCTTTTGTTAGAAACATTTCAGGCAGCAGAATGTTTAGGCTGCTGGAAATTGATTTTGCCTTTACAAAACATTTGTTTCTAAATGAAACGTGGTATTCCTATTTGCTATCAGTAAGAGCAGGCCTGGTTTCAAAGACCACTTTGTATAAGTATATTTGTGTTAAGCTTAACAGCTTAAAATAGGAGCCATGATTTGTTTCTTCGGACTCAGTGCCTTACTCATTGACATTTCTTTTACCTTCTGATGGGTGGAGATGAGTACTTCCTAGAACTACATATAATCATATTAAATAACATTTCTTTGCCGTTGTCAAACAGAAACAACTGTCTTACATGAAAGAGAAAGATACAGAACTTGCCATTGCACAAAGTGAAGCTTCTGAGCTAAGAGCAGAATTTTTGAAATTGAAACGGTGAGTAATAGTCTATAATTTGCTGAAATTAATTACTTTATGATCGAATTAACTGTTATCATTGCTTCATAAAAAAAAAACGTCTTGTAAAAAGTAACAGCCAGGTGTACCTGCACATACACCCACAGGGTTCAAAATTTAGATTAGTATACCAGGATAACAGAGAGTGACTTCCAACAGGTCCGATTGGTTTTAATGAGCTATCCGTGCCTAGTTTTTGCACGTCAAATTGGCCGTAAAATTTTTAAACAAGTCTGCGCCTCTACATTTCTTTATAACATTTCTCCACTGAAAGTATCTGGCACTTATTTTAGACGTCCTAATAATTTAAGAATCATTGCCTTTGTTACCTTCACCAGCTAGCGAAGAAATATATGGGAATCTTTCATCACAATATTTCCTCATTAGCATAGGCAATATAGTTTCTGATCAAGCTACAAAAATACCAGCTCTCATTGTTGAAAGAGCGTGGCACGAAAAAACATTAACTGTCCCTAGGATTTTGAGTTTTTGAGTCTGCTGTATTACATACTTCCCGGATACTTTTCTTGCCACGCGGGTTAGAAAACTTACAAAGAATGTCAGGTCTCAGTAACGCTTTTGCCGACCAAAAAGTTTTCAACTTTTGAAAGGGGAATATCTCCTTGAATATGACACCCATAAAGCTGAAAATTTCACCAATTAATAGTTTCACAAGCTCTTTATTCCTATATATCGTGATGTCTTCGCTATACTAAATCGTATGCTTATGAGACATCAGTAAAGATCACCCTATACATGTATTTAGGTGGTTGTTGTCTCTGAAAAACTATACATGTGAGCAACATTAAGAAATGTTTTTTGTTTTCGTCGTGGAGCTTTTGAGAGCAATCTCGAACAAAATGTGGCAATCAGTAACAAGACAGTCATCAACAAGCTGTAACAAGCACTAACAAATCGTGAGAAATGACAAGTGAGACAAGACAATCACTAACAAATGTAACATTCCCTAAGTGGAAACAGTAGGTATGGAGACTGGATATCCATCGCTGAACCTAAGTAGCAAGCTGTACAACTTAGCTGCATGCTACAAAAATCAGTATGAAGGTGTCGCAATTAGCAACAGGACGGGCAGATTAGGAACACGTAGAGCCACGAAAGTTAAAAGTGTGCAGTTTGTGATCCAAATGAATTGTTGAGTTATACATTTAACAAATAGATCCCATGTTGCCGTACATCTGTTCAGGATTAGTATAAATCTGCTAGCGCTCTATCAAGGATACCGTTTGCTGAATAGCTACGCTACTCACTATCTATTCTGTTGTAGGTAGCACATAGCGTAGCAATGTGCGGTTGTGAACGAAATGACGGCCGATTCTTTGTGTTTTTGAAGTATCCATGAAGAAGATTTAGATTAAGTTTTGAACGACTTATAGATTTATACTAAAACAATTAGATTATTCGCTCTCGATTTCTATGCGCGATAGTTGACGAGGGTGTACGTGATACAAATCTCGAGCTCGGAAAGCAAGGTTATCTTTCCATTTTAAGAAGTGGTGTTGGATGTTTCTTTCCAGACACCAATCTGAGTGAACAATTATTTTGAGACTGGGAAAATTTCAATTTTTTAAATAAATTATTCTCATAAACATTCTGCTTATTGGGTTTGTTGAATTCGAGGCAAAGCAATGGTTTCTTACCTTGAAATAATTTCAAGACTCATTTTGTGTTTCGTTTAGTCTCGCTCGACTGAGACTGCTCGAGTATTTTCCCGAGTCAATTTTTAAAAAGAAACGTGTTTTGCTTTCTTCTTCCTGTTTCTCGTACCTGTTCACAGCCTCGACAAGACTTTTTTAACATTTTCCTTAGCCCAGTGCGGTAAAATATTAACTTAACTCTCAAAACTTTCCGCCATTTTAAAACATAGGCACGCAAGGCGTGCAAGAGTTATTTTTTTGTGTGAAGTGTCGGAGATAGGAGCACTCACGGTACAGTAATGATTTGGTTAATTTGACATTTTTTCTTTGGTTGCGATGTTACATCGGTCATGGTAAGATAGCTAAATAGTAAGCCATAAAATGTTTGA